GGGGGAGAAATACAGAGAGAAAAGAAAACCAAAGGAAGGGTCACTAAGAGAGAGAGGGGGGGGGGAGTTAGAGAAAGAACATGTGACAAAGAAACAAAAGCTCTCCCTCTCTGCAGCCCATGGCTCTGACTAATAGACGTGATACATGAGCTATAAACACCAAATTCAAAGCGTGTTTCATTAATAATTGCCCATCATTATACGGACAATGTGGATCTGTGAGCCAGGGTTTTTTTTAGGAATTTTTTTTTTTGTCCGTTTGGCCTCAGCCCAATTTAGGACAAGACGTGGCTGACTTTCATCGCTAATAGATAACAGATGACAGATGATGCATAATGAGTACAAGACCACGGTCTACTTTCACAGAATATGAAAAGGAGAAGTGAACATCAAGACCCGCAATCACTCCTGACGTGCCAAGTTACCGCAGCAGTCTGATACGCACGTCTGTATGCGTTAACTAGTCGTAGTGTGCCGGAGGTGAGGATGAACGGGTCAAACAAGCACAAGACTTTCACCAAGGAGACCACTGTTCTAGTCCTGTGTGAAACCAAGTCAACATTGACTTATTTGACCGTAGTCTTGTTATGGAACTTCTGGACTTTACAAACGCCTGTTATGTAACAAACAGTTATTTTACTTCACAAATGTACTTATTTTTAAACCAAACCACAATGTTTTCCTGAGCCTAACCAAGTCAATGCACTGTGTAAGAAAACCTAAAAACTATGTCAACCTTTGTTGGAAATCTATTTTGAAAAGAGGAAAGTTGACGTGCCCTCCGTGAGTCCAGACTGAAGCTCGAGGGGAACCGAGAGCATCACAGGGTGAAGCGCAGGGCAGCTGAACAAGGCCACGTGATGGCTTTGATGTAAAAATGAGAACATATGGGAGAGGATAAAAAAATATCAAAGAGCATGCTGAAAAGAGTAGACTATATAAAAAAAACTGAGAAAAAAAGAACTGGATCAATTACCACTAGAAAGCACAGAAACTGTCCCAGTAACTAAGAAAAGGCTATCTTGATGCCTTAAAATTCAAACCTCTCACTTTGGCAAACTCTCAGTCTAGGAAGCACTCTGCTGGGAGAACAAGCATCCTAAAGCTGGCATACAATAGCAACACCGAAAGAAACTTATTTTTCTTAAGAGTGGAAAACATCATCTGTGTTTTTCTCTTAGAAACGACTCCTTTTATGAAGGTTTTCAGGCTGCAGAATGCATAATGGGAAGAGTGAGTCTTTGACTTGAAAATGTCTATTTTAAAATTGAGTGTGTTGGTGCTGTGTGTGTCTGACTGCCTTCATGTGTGTGAGGGCGCAGGAGGTGGAGTATTATCTTCGTTTTGCATTGATGGGTCTCATCTAAAGTATATCTAAAAGTGTGAGCGTACATTTCTACCTCCCTCCCTCGTCTCACCCACTGTCTCATCGTTCTCTGGTTCTTGTTATGTTCAGCCTTGCTTGATACACAAGGGTGAGGCACGGAGACAAAAAGGAGGACAGTGAAGGAAGCGACTGCTTGACTCGGGTCAAGTATAGTGGTGGACGGCAGCATGAAGACATATCATTCCGACTGCTAGAACTAAATGAGTCACTCCTGAACTGAGAGTAAAGGCAGACTTAGTGTACGACATCCTGTCACGGGCAAAGACATCCGTCTCTGCTGGAACACGGCTCACTGATACACAATGTCGCACACAAGTATATCGCTACAAACACAGACGACTGAAATCCCCTCCCAGTGAGAGCGGCTTGTTCCGTAATTCGTCTTCGGGTTGGTTCTATAGCCTCCAGGCAGGATTAGCTCAGGCACTGGCTGTCCTCACAGAGACCTGCGGGGGCTACTCATCAGCCAGCCGACGTCAAGGCAGACCACAGGGGCTCAGGAGGCTCAACCTGCCCCGAAGACAGAGCACCAAGACGGGGATAAACCCAGGCCACTGATGCTCCACTAGGACAACCGTTGTCCAGCCATTATCCGTCTTATACAACAGGAGAGCGGAGGAGCAAAGGAGACTTCAAGCGGCCTGGAGATAAGAATGACTGAGTGAGAAAGGAAGTATAAGACATAACAGGGACGAAACTCTGAGACTTTGGACTCCGATCAGATTAAGTCACAAAAAATTAGAGAATGGAGACTTGACTTTACAATTAAAACAAGACTTGAAAGTTAAAACATTAAAGTATCAAATAATAGAGACAGTTACAAGCAGCCTTTGCAGAGCCATACAGCTAGAATATCCTTTGCATTAAAGGGACTTGATCGCACCTGCAGTGTGTGGAAACCACTATTAACACAGCTTTAATAAGAG